CACTCAAGAGTGAGACTGATCCTCTAGATCTTATCATCTCTTGTTTAAAACCTCCCATTAACTATTAACTGGTTTCCTACTCCTTTGTGACTAAGGCCCTCACTCTCTCCTATAGGACCCTGTGATGATCTAGATCCTGGTACATTATCAATGCAATGTCCCATCACTTCAGCACCTGCTGACTTCACTCTTATCATTTTACCCCGTCTCCTCTTATTGTTCCCGATCACCAATGACAGGGTGCCTCAGAGACTTTGAACTTGATGCTTCATTTGCATAAAGTACTTCCCTCCCCTCCAAGTATCCCATGACCCACTCTCCCATGCAGGTCTCTTTTCAATGTCAGCTCCTCAGAGAGACTTTTCTTCCATCCCCTACATAAAAGGCATCTCGTTTTACCCTTTCTGCCTTGGTTTTGCTTAGTTTACTACCTATAACTCAATACCAGCTGATAGCATATGTATGTCTCTTTGATGACTGGTTTTTATCTGTCTCAATTACTAGAATATACTTTCTATGAGGAAAGAGACATTTTCCTAGCACACTGAATAGTGTCTAGCAGATATGTGCACTCTTAACTATATGTGGGCCTATGGGAAAGCATGCCTCAGTAGAGATCCACAGGATATTCATATGAATGTGATTGAAAATATTCATTTGCCCCTTTGAGCCAATGCATGCTCAATATTTGCCCACATAACTACTCAGGTCAGAGTACTGAATTACTAGATGATGACTGATGAAGTTGCTTCTACTTTTATACTCCAAAGTCATCAGCGACTCCATCCCTCATGCATCTATCAGTAACTCTGAGACAGATTCTCTCTCCAAATCCTTACTCAACTATGAAGGAATTAATTCCTGGTCTTTTCATCTCTCTCATCTAAATGAGTCAAATTTTCCTCTTCCTGGGCTTGCTAATGTAAAAGTAAGAATTACAGACATCTGTCACTAAATCAAAAGATGCATGTTGTTTTTACTAAGATGATAATGTGTTTCAGTAGGGTACTATGCAGATGAGAAAAATCAAGTCTCTGAGAGATGCGGATTCAGTCTCCCCCAAAACTGATCCCCACTCTTTCATTCACACTAGCTTGCTCTACCATCATCTATGGTTCTGTCATCAGGCCTCACGAGAGTTTCCTGCTCTCATGGTGCATGGTTCCAGTCTCAGCACCACCATTACCATGCTCCTTTGATTTAGTTTTATAATTTTATTGAATTTGGAATTCTGTTACACAAAACATCTTGTAGTCACCTATTAATTAGTCATTTCCAAAGGAAGCTACAATTGCTGCTCAAATCACTAGCAATCAGGGACAATGCAGTTCACCTTGAAGGGCAGAGAAGTTCTAGGACCTACTTCTATAATTGTAATGATAAAAGATTAAAAAGGAAAAATGGGAGTGAAAATGGAGATGTCACATCATCAACAAAAGATTTATGTAATAATACATTCCTATTCTTTATTTTTTTTCAGTTACTTGTCTAATATCTCTTTGAATTGAGAACCATGTTTGAACTTGATTATAAATTCACTACAATTAGGGTAAAAGACTGAGTGCATTCAAAGATGAATAAGAAATAGCTGCTGGTCTTGTGGGAATGATAATGATGTAATGATAAATGCTTGAAAGAGGTATACATAGAGTATTTAAATTTAATAATTTTATTAATAAGGACTGAGAAATCATGAGACACATTTCAAATTCTTATCTGAAATACATATCCCCCAAAATACTTGACATTACCATTGCATTATCTTAGGATTTTGTACTTCTCATTACTCTCTATCACTTACATATCAATCATCTTTGCTCTCTAGTTTGATAATGATGACCAAAAATACTGCAGTAGTGAGAAGTTATATTCTGAGACTCCTCTATGGTCAAAAGGGTTATTTACGAGACTAGGAAAGGTTGCAGGTAATATCCATATCAAATAGACGTATATGATAATGAAAAAGGGAACTCAATAGTAATTAGTTCCATTATTCATCCACATTCAGAAGTTGTGAATCTATACTTTTTACAAGGCCTTGTTTCTCCCTAGAAACAGCAGTGTTTGAATTTGTCTCTGCACTGACCATATTAAAGGCTTAAATTTTCCAATCTTCCCCTAAGCCATAAGACGTGGGGAGAAAAAACTACTAGGATACTTCTTAACCAGTTTCAATGGCATTTACCTATGGGATGTTAGCATACAAAATCACCAACGAAGAGCAGCTGGATGTCAGCCAGCTACCAGTTTGGAAGCAATGCTGAGAGCAATTCACTTTTGTTAGTTTCGACATGTGGAGTTGATGGATGATGGCAGTACACTTGAGCAGCTGGCCATACAGGAAACTGAAATGAGTCTGGTCAAAAAACAGAAGATCTGCCTTAAGAACACCCAGAAGCACAATTTGCAGCCTAACTCTGGATTTCTGGAAAACAGAAAGAGCAAAACAAATTAATTTTTGGAACAATAATCACAAAGAAGTCGGTGCAAGCCAAGTATTAGACAGCTAAATATCAAACACAGGACATTATTCACTTAGAACAGAGCAAAGGAATAACATCCATGACAAACCGGAGAGGTCAATGAAGACTCATCGCACAGGTGGATTAAATGTATCAAAGCCTTTCGGAGTTCTTCCTGGTAGCAGACAAGACTGATTGATTATTAAAAATGGAACTGTAAATCTAATAGCACCACTGGGAAAATATAATACCCTATTTTTTTGTTTGTGTTTCTTTAGATACCAGCCTTTGTCATGTTTAATGTGCTAGCTTGCATTCAATAGGCTAAACTTGTTGTGCAAACAAATGTTGGATTCCAGATTTCAGAAGTGAGGGCTATTTTCTGAATTAAGCCAAGGAAGCTGTTTGATGAATGAACCATGTCTGGAAACCAATTTCTTAATGGTAATATTTTAAAAGTGGAATATTCTCTAGAACATTGAGAGAAATACACAAGGACTTTACATGAAGTTGAAAACATAAACTATATAGAACACATTGAAGGCAGCTTTGGAAACTAAAATAAGAAAGTAAAACTGAAATTTCAAAGACTCCAATGCTAGCCAGGCTATAATAAGACATGCTAATTCTTATGCTGTATGGTATCAGAGAAGGCCAAATGAAGCACTGATACTGTTATGGGCTGAATTGTGTCCCTTAAAAATTGTAAGTTAAAGCCTTAAACTTCAGTAACTCAGAAAGTGATTTAATTTGGAAAAAGACCCTTTAAAGTCATAATCGTGTTAAAATAGGGTCCTAGGGTGGACCCTAATCCAATAACACTGGATCTCTTTATAAAGAGAGAATAAAACACAGACAAGTACAGAGAGATCACTGAAAACATAGTTAGGAGGCAGCCATCCACAGGCAAAGGAGAGAGGCCTCAGAAGAAATAATCCAGCTGACATCTTGATCTCAGACTTCTAGCCTCCAGAACTGTGAGAAAATAAATTTCTGTTGTTTAAGCCACTAGTGTATGGTACTTTGCTACGGCAGCCCTAGGAAATAATACAGAGACTTTCTTCCTTGCTCAGCAGTAAAGGGTCAGTACCTGTTCCATGGTGATAGTGGAAAAAATGTAAGAAGCTCCTTTCACAGTTAAGGGGTAGCCTTCCTTCCCCACTGGGGTGGTGTCAAGGAGGGCAAGTGGAAAGTCAAGAATTTCACTACCAGCCAGAGTGAAAGTGATCCTAATCACAGAGGCCCATGGGGAGCAGAAATAAGATACTTACTCCCAGACAGGGTGATATACAGAGGCCTGTGGAAGCTGGAACTCTCCTACCCTCACTAGTAATAACCAGGTGTCAACTGAGGTTTAGTGGAGAATCTGGAGATTGGCAGAGTGAAAAAAAATTGACTAAATTATATGCTGTCAAAAAGGACTTTAGTTAAAATGAAATAATATAAATAAGATAAAAAAAAGTAAAAGGAAGGGAAAAGACAGGCCATGCTACATTAATCAACAGAAAACAAGACTGGTTATATTAATATCAGATAAAGCAGACACTCTGGAACAAAAAATTACCAGGGAGAGAATGAGACACTGAATCCTGCAAGAAGACACAAAAATCATAAATGTGTATGCACCAAACAATGTTAGTGAAAGAGGTGAAGTAAAAACCAAAAGAAGAAATAAGTTTACAGTTATAATTGGAGATTTTAACACTTCTCCTTCAGTAGTTGACAGAACAATTATACAAACAAGTCAGCAAGATATAGAGGATCAGAAGGTCACTATAAACTAACAGGATCTAATCAACATTCAGATATGATAATATAATACTCAACCTGACAATAGCAGAAAACATTTTTACAAGGGCCTATGGAATACATACCAAGGTAAACCATATCTTGAGCCAAAAGGAAAATCTCAACACATTCAAAGTAAACAAATTATTCAGGGTATATTCCATTATCATAGTGTAACCAAACTAGAAATCAATAATAGAAGAGTGAAAGGAAAATCTGTAAATACCTGTAACTAAACAATTCACATCTAAATACGCCATGAGTCAAAAGGAATCTCAAGTGAAATAAAAATTACACTGAGTTGAGTGAAAATGAAAACACAGCATATCAAAATGTGTTGGATGCAACTAAAGTAGGCAGAGAGCATAATTTATAGCATTAAATACTTATATTAGCAAAGAAGAAATGCCTGAAATCAATAATATAAGTTCCTATCACAAGAAACTAAGATATTAAGAGTAATATAAACCTAAAGCTAGCAGAAGGAAGGAAATAATAAAGATGAGAAAAGAAGTCAATGAAATTGAAAAGAGAAAAATAATACAAAACACTAATAAAACAAAAACTGTTTCTTTAAAAGATTAATAAAACTGATCAACCTCTAGCAAGACTAATAGAGAAGACAAATTATCAGTATCAGGAAGGAAACAAGGGATATAACTACAGACACTGTAGACATCAAAATAAAAGAAAGAGAATACTATAAATTATTCTACACACATACATTTGACAACTTAGATGAAACAGACTACTACACCCAAAAGCACAAGCTATCACAACTCACCCAACATGTGATAGATAATTTAAATAGCCCTATAAGAATTGAATTCACAATTTTAAAAACTCTCCAAAAAGAAATCTCCAGGGCCAAATATTTTCACGGGAGAATTCTCTCAAATATTTAAAGAAGAATTAACATCAAGTCTACTCTTTCAGAAAATAGAAGAGGAAACATTTCTGAATCCATGTACAAAGTAAGTATTATTCTGATACCAAGACCAGAAAGAGATGATATAAAAGAAAAAAGAAGAAAACTATTGATCATTATTCCACATGAACTTATACACCAATATCCTTAACAAAACATTAGCCAATAAATTCAGCAATACGTAAAAAGAATAATACAACATGACAAAGTGGGGTTTATTCCAGGAAAGTGAAACTGGTTCAATATTTAAAATTCAATCTATATAATTAATCATACTGACAAACTAAATAAGAAAAATCTTATGATTACATCAATTGCCAGAGAAAAAGCATTTTAAAGTATTAACATTCATTTATGATAAAAAAAAACTTTCAGTAAACTAGGAACGTGGGAGCAATTTCCTAAACTTGATAAAGAACTTCTACAAAAACCCTTCAGCTAGTATCACATTTAATAATTACTGAATGAGTTTCCTCTACAATTATAAACAAGGCAAGGATACACTAGTCAACATAATAATGGAGTTCTAGCCAGTGCAATAAAGTAAGAAAAGGAAATGGGGTGATGGAATAGTTCTGTATTTTGTTTGGGGTGGTGGTTACACAAACATACACATGTGATAAAATAACAGCATACCATTAAGCCAACCTGATCTTGATACTTTAGTATGGTTATGCAAGCTGTAACAATTGGGGGAAACTGGATGAAGGGTACATCAAACCCCTCTGTATTTTTTCAACTTCTTGCAAAACTATAATTATTCAAAATACTTTTTTTTAAAAGGCCACAAGTCACAAAATCAAGAAAAGTTAATTTTAGAGCCTAAACAAAATCACAAAAATTGGCAGCCCGAATATTTCAGAAAAAATATTAGAAAAAATACCTCCAATGTGGTGAAGGTAGGTTATCTCAAAGGCTCTAGTATTTAAGACATATGTAATATGTTTAAGTATGTGTGTGTATTTATATATATATAAAATTTAAGGATCCTCCAGAAGAAAGATAGAAGGCAACATATATTCATATATTCCATATTATTAAATAATATTTTCCCAGGGAATTGAATTGTAAATTATCATACATCAGGTAATGTAAACTACTGATTGTGAAGTATCACTTAAATATCTGCCTTAGATAAGCACTATAAGTACCTAAATAAAACTCTAAGTATAAATTGCTGGAGCAGATGTGCATTGAAGAAACACAGGAAATGCTGTGAAGTTCAAACAAAACTAAGACAAAAAATAATTCTATTTAGTCAAATTTAGATACATTTAGAGAACTAGTTTTCAACTTTTCAGCCTTCATAGGAAATGTAACAATGTTATGCTTAGGGATCTTGTCCAGAAAAAATGAAAAGTAGCCATCTGCACTAACATTTTAGGGAAGCTTTTCCTTACCCACAGATTAGCTTGTTTGTCCCTGGTAAATATTTCCATAAAATTTTACACTTCTTTTTAAACTTACTAACTTTATAAAGTAATATAGTTAATAACTGTCTTTCTTAATGGTCTATACGTTTCTTGGGAGATGGACAAATAAATATACTT